TGACTTGGAGCAGGACTGGTGGTGATGGCAGTGGGTGAATCTCTGGAGAGTGGGATTGGGTGCATAGCTGAGGCATGTCTTTCACTATGACACTCCTCACACTTGATGACAGATTTACAGTCCTTATCCATGTGCTCCAATGAAGCGCAGCATCTGAAACATACCCCGAGCTCAGTGAGGATTTTCTTTGCGCTCCTGTATGGTTTTGGATCTAAACCCTCTACATTTGTTCAGAGAGTGTGGTTTTTTATGAATGGGACATTCACGATTGAAGGTCTTATCTCCTGATGAGGTAGTGTACTGTTTACCTGTGGGTACTGCAGGAGATGGTAGGTTAGTCTTTCTAACACTCACGCTGCTCTTGAAGTCTCTGTGTTTATGCGTGATGCTTTCATACCTTGATGATGTTGTGCTGAAGCTGTAGTGTTGAACTCCAGGAAGTCGAGGCTGGGGTCATTCCTCATCTGGGACTGTTCATCGATAAACCTACAGAAGTGAATAAATGGGGGAAAGGTGACGTCATGCTCTCTTTTGTACCTTGAGACTGATGCCGCCCACTTTTCTTGCAGACTGTATGGTAGCTTCACGACAATTGGGTTCACTCCATGAGCCGTATCCAGGTAGCACAGCTCGGACAGAGGAGGGTCACCCCTGCAAGCTCCAGTTCCATGAGCAGATCACTTAAATCCTGAAGCTTCTGGACATCCTTGAGATTGATCCTTGGAACGTTCTGCAGTCTCTTGAATAGGGCCTTCTCTATTGCTTCTGCACTGCCGAAGGTACGTTCGAGTCTCTGCCAGGCAGCAGCGAGACCTGCTTCTGCTTGTCCCACGTAGACAGTTCTGAGGCTCTGGACACGATTTGTGGAGCCTGGGCCCAGCCATTTGATCAAGAGGTCAAACTCCTGCTCTGCGGTTAGGTTGAGGTTAGCAATGGCGGCCTTGAAGGTTGCCTTCCAAGCTCTGTAGCTCTCTGCACGGTCATCAAATTTTGAGAGACTGGTGTTGATTAGCTCTCTGCTCACCATAAACCTGGCAAACTCAGACATATCTGATTTCTCACTGCTTGTTGCCATGACGACTTGTGATGCCCCTGGGGCGTATGGGCTGCCTGGCGTGAAAGGGTGAGATGCTTCCGGGTAGAATGATGTAGCTGCAGGGTTAAGCTTTCATTTAGCCTCTGTATATTGTGATGACTGCTGCTTGAGCTGTGGAGGTAGGCCAGAAAACGCCTGATAGCGATCTTTCTGTAACAACCGTCCTTGAGAGGGCACATCCAGGTAACGGTTATTAGGTTGCTCGGGTGCTGTGGGTAGCACTGGTACCGCAGGTAGAGCTGACTTGGAGGTTTCAGTGTTGTCGGCTTGGACGGTACTGCAAACTGGGGGTGGCGCAGATACTTGATTCAGTACATAGTCACTGGTGCGATCAACTGGATCACCTATCTCCTGTGGTAGTGAGCAGACTGGATCAAGACCTTGGCTCAATGCTTGCTCAAGTAGTCTTACTTTAGCTAATGCAATTTCCTCCTGCATCTCTGATTCAAAAATCTTTATTCGAGCCTCTGCCCTCTTGGCCTCTGCTTCTGCCTCTGCAAGAGCTTCTTTTTCTGTGAAGGAGCGTCTCGCTTTGGATTGCTCTGCGTTTATGCGGGCCTCTAGTAATCTGTCGCTCAAGGCTGAGCTTCTTGAGCACGATGATCTGTATGACCGAGAGGAATGTTTGGATGAATTTGATCTGTGTGATCTAGTTTCTTGCAAATGCGAGATACGGAGTTCCGGTTTACCTTTAACATCCAGGACCATGACGTCTCTTTGTCTGTCTATTGATTCTGCCTTGCTGAGTTCTGATAGGGCTTCATCGATATTAGAGTCTTTTAGAAAGATTATATACCTTGTGGACAGTCTCTTGTATCTTTCTTGAGCTGTGTCCAGCCGCCCGATGGCAACTTGTAAGCTTGTGGCATCACCTGAGGAGGATTTAAGTCCGGACATGAGGGAGGAAACTCGTTCCCATTGCTCCTCCAGGTTATCACATAGCTCATCTTTCGTGGTGTGATAATTTTCAATGACCTTTACTGTCGGTTTGAGAGAGCATCTTGGTCGTACGACTTGTTCTGCTGGAAGTGTGGATTCTGTTCTCTGCCCTTCATAATGATCAGCATCAGGTTGCATTTGCTTTAGTTCATCACTGGGGAACTGTGCAAAGTCCTTTTCGGCCATTTTGACTTAAGGTGCGCTGTCTCTTTAAGAAAATGAACTTTTGAATTGGACGCTGAAAATCGCCGTACAGCTCAGATAGGGCACCTTGACAAAATTTCTAAGATATTTAGAATGAATTGCGGGGTTTTGCGGCGGCCACGGCAGTGTAAGGAACGTGCATAAACAGTACTTCTGTTATGCGAGCAAAAGTTAATATAGGACTTTAGGAATGGCTTGGCGAGTTGTGGAGGACTTCCAGGCGAGAGTATAGATACTGCGTATGGAACATGCACTGTAGCCGGGCAGATTTGCAGCAAGTGGGCCTGTTGCTAGATAGATTCCTGAGTGTGGTACTGGACTCTGAGGGAATCTGTAGCAGGGTATGGACTTTAAGGCAGTTTTTGACTGTTCTGTCCCCACATGAAGGCGAATGAAGGTATAACTGACAATAGCTGTGTAACTTCCTACCTTCGTATCCAAGCAGTGGAGCAGACCGGACCGACAGATGCTCAGGTTAGATGGATCCAAACGTATACACGGGAATGAAATCAGCGTGGGTTTATTTGATCCAAATACAGCGACAAACAGTGATACAATACTGTAAGGTAGTAGAGGTATTGATGCTGTCCTGTGATATTTTCCTGAAGCTAACTGCTGGTCAAAAACTGATGCCTTCACAAGCCCAGGGTATTGAATGTCCTGTCACACAGCTATAAAGCACATAAAAATGGCTGCAGGAAGTGACCAGAACCAAGGCTTGCCTAAAACCACGCCCAGCAGAGAAAAAACTTACTAGCTATAACAGGGGCATGCAGCATGCAAATTCTGGCCAGCAGATGGCAGCAACAGATCAAGACATAGAAACAAACATGGTGAAATAAGAATTGGTGATACAATGCACAGTTAAATAACAAATATGAGGGGAACAGCACAGATAACATCACACCTTCACTTTTTGAAACATTTAAATATAGGCCCACGTGTGCCAAAGGAGATTGGTTACCCTACAAACAGATATTACATGACCTTCTCTCTGTTCTTCCTGTCCAGCCAGCTTGAATTCTCCCAAATCTATGATTCATTCAGCCATTCACCTTCCTGCCAAGCGATGGATCACCAATCAAGTCATAGGTCTTGTCCACCGCAATCCCCTTTTTTTTAGCTTTCCTTACTCTAACTGACTGCCCTCTCTGCCCTGATTAACCACTTCCCTTCCGGCCCTTGTACATAAAACGGCCGTACGGGAGCAGTGCAGGAGCGAGTTGCCGTCCATAAACGGTGCCCACATTTTCAAGCTGGGCATTGCCACTAAATCCTTTGCAATATAACCCGACAAAGGTTGACACCCTTCACTGCTCTAACATAAAATGCTTTAACCTCTTCCCATCTGGCCCATGCCGATAAACATGGGGCAGCACAGTGGCTAAATGGTTAGCACTTCCGCCTGGCAGTACTAGGGTGATTGGTTCAAATCCCAACCACGACACCACCTGCCTGGAGTTTTCTCCCTGTGCCTGCGTGGGTTTCCTCCGGGTACTCTGGTTTCCTCGCACACTCCAGAGACATACTGGTAGGTGTACTGGCTCCTGTCTAAATTGTCCCTAGTACGTGTATGTATGAATGTGAGTTGGGGACCTTAGATTGTACGCCCCTTGAGGGTTAGGGACTGATGTGAATGTACAATATATATGTAAAGCACTGTGTAAATTGATGGCGCTATAGAAGTACCTGAAATAAATAAAAAAACAGCCTATGCCTGGGAGCGCGCAGCACCGCGATTGGTGCTCACTGTGGAACACTGATTGCTGTACGGGACCTCTGAGTGAGGTCCCGATCATGTGCTCACTGATTGGCCAATCAGTGATCACATGAATAGTAGTAAGCAACATGTCACTTCTGACATCATTGCTTACTACGTGTGAAATCTGTGAATGATCACAGAGGTCGCATGGTACAAGGCTATTCATAACAGCCTTGTACCATGTGGTAAGCTGTGACCAATCACAGCTCTCACAGTATTTACAGTACAGAGAAGGACTGATGTGAAGGAGAAATTATTGCTTTTACAGCCTTTATGGGTGTAAAAGCAATCAGTGTAAAAAAAAAAAAAAAAAATCTTTAATCACCCCCCACAAGTAGTACAGTGACACTATGGTGACACTGTACTGCTAGGGTGACAGTATGTTAAAAAACAAAAACAAATATTGTAAAAAAAAAAAAAAAGTTGAAAAATTATTTTTGGTTATAAACTAATTTGGGTTATTTTTTTTTTTACTAAAAAGATAACGGAATACATTTTTGGCCAAAATTTATGAAGAAAGATTATTTATTTGCAAAATGTTATAAGAAAAACACTTTTTTTTCAAATGTTTTGAGCTTTTTCATTTATATAGCAAAAAATATTTAAATCCCAGTGGTGAATAAATACCACCAAAATAAAGCTTTATCTGTCTCAAAAAAATGCTAAAAAATTCATATGGGTACAGTGTTGCATGACCGCACAATTGTTATTCAAAGTGTGACAGCACTGAAAGCTGAAAATTGGCCTGGACAGAAAGGGGGGACAGTGTCCGGACTTGAAGTGGTTAAAATATATAAACATCTGCAACTCTTCTAGAAACCATCATGAAGATGGGACTACGATGGTCCAGGACTTAAAGTGGTTAAAATCAGGATTCTTTCTTAACATGCAGTTTGACCTACCTGAGAGTTCCAGGGAACCTCGCGGCTCTCCTGGTGGTCAAGAGGAGATGAACACTTCCTTGTATCTGAAAGAATTTCCTCCTCACTCTGTTCCCCATCACTCATATACCTCTCTTCTCGGTCTTCAATCCTGTATTCAGTCAGGTTTTCATTCTACATAACCAACAAAGCAATACAATTATTATCCAGCTCCAGGCACATGACTGAACTCAGATTATCCTACCTGATCCTCCTGAGGGATCTCCTGATGTTCCTGTGTGGAGTCCTGGGAATTCAGAGGACGGGGACATCTCTCTGGTGGGTTCCCATTACTGGATCCATCTGTAGGAAACACACACACACTGACTGAATCCATTGTTTCTATGTCTTTATATCAGAGGATGTGTGTATCTAGGTGGATCCTCAGTACAAGAAATAAAAGTCTCCTCTTACCCTGTGATGTGAGGGGCGGCTGGTTCTCCATCATGAAGTCCTTGTAGAGATCCTTGTGTTCTTCTATATACTCCCACTCCTCCATGGAGAAATAGACAGTGACCTCCTGACACCTTATAGGAACCTGACACACACAATGATACAGTCACCATCCAGACACATCCCTTGTCTGTTACTGGATCATGTCCTAGAATTCCTGGCATCGCTCACCTCTCCTGTCAGCAGCTCAACGATCTTCTGGGTGACTTGTAGAATTTTGTCATTGCTTTTCTCAGGTGTCAAAGAGGGAGATGAAGGCTCAGTGATGGGACTCTGGCTGCTGATCTGTTCTCCAGGCACACAGAGAGGGCTGCTAAGTGCCATATAGTCACAAGACTTCTTTATTGGTCCATAATCCTACACAAAGACAAATGATTGAACATAGAAATCCTACTAACTGACTCATCATCTCTGGTAGCGCAATCAGCTGTTCTATTAAGAGATAAGTCATGTGACCTCCCAGAAATCCTCCTTACCTCTCCGGTCAGGTCTGTGTTTTATTAATAGAGCTAAGACGGATGTCATGTGACCTCCCAGAACCCTCCTCACCTCTCCGGTCAGATCTGTGTTTTATTAATAGAGATAAGACGGATGTCATGTGACCTCCCAGAATCCTCCTCACTTCTCCGGTCACCTCTGTGTTTTACTAATAGAAATAAAAGTGATGTCATGTGACCTCCCAGAATCCTCCTCAACTCTTCAGTCAGGTCTGTGTTTTATTAATAAAGATAAGGGTGATGTCATGTGACATCCCAGAATCCTCACCTCTCCGGTCAGGTCTGTGTTTATTAATAGAGTTAAGAGTGATGTCATGTGACCTCCCAGAATCCGCCTCACCTCTCCGGTCAGCAGGTAGATGATCTCCAGGGTGAGCTGTAGTATTTTCTCAGTAACATGACTTGGCTCCTTCTCCATCCCCAGTGCTGAGACCAGGAGTAGCCTCAGTTTCTTCTAGAAGACAATGATCTGGATATCACTACAAAGGTAAACATGAACCGGTAAACAAATCATCACAACATATAGAACAAAATGTGATAAGTGATGAATGTGCTGGAAAAGAACAATGAAAGTCCAACATCCAATGAGCATGCATAATGCTAACCTCTATAACATTACAAGTTGTACATTACATGATTCATTTTAAATCTGACCTCTGACCTCCCCTTGCACAGTTGTACCGGCTCCTCTCCTGGACTGAAATGACTTCCCCTGATTTCACTGCAGACTGTGAGCTTCTCACAATGTGCATTAGAAGCCGCAGCAAATCACGCCCTCAGTCTCCGACCCTCTCCTGGCCCACGCCCTCGGTCTCCGACCCACTCCTGGCCCACGCCCTCGGTCTCCGACCCTCTCCTGGCCCACGCCCTCGGTCTCCGACCCTCTCCTGGCCCACGCCCTCGGTCTCCGACCCTCTCCTGGCCCACGCCCTCGGTCTCCGACCCTCTCCTGGCCCACGCCCTCGGTCTCCGACCCTCTCCTGGCCCACGCCCTCGGTCTCCGACCCTCTCCTGGCCCACGCCCTCGGACTTCGACCCTCTCCTGGCCCACGCCCTCGGTCTCCGACCCTCTCCTGGTCCACGCCCTCGGTCTCCGACCCTCTCCTGGTCCACGCCCTCGGTCTCCGACCCTCTCCTGGTCCACGCCCTCGGTCTCCGACCCTCTCCTGGTCCACGCCCTCGGTCTCCGACCCTCTCCTGGTCCACGCCCTCGGTCTCCGACCCTCTCCTGGTCCACGCCCTCGGACTCCGACCCACTCCTGGTCCACGCCCTCGGACTCCGACCCTCTCCTGGTCCACGCCCTCGGTCTCCGACCCTCTCCTGGTCCACGCCCCGGACTCCGACCCTCTCCTGGTCCACGCCCTCGGACTCCGACCCTCTGCTGGTCCACGCCCTCGGTCTCCGACCCTCTGCTGGTCCACGCCCTCGGTCTCCGACCCTCTCCTGGTCCACGCCCTCGGTCTCCGACCCTCTGCTGGTCCACGCCCTCGGTCTCCGACCCTCTCCTGGTCCACGCCCTCGGTCTCCGACCCTCTCCTGGTCCACGCCCTCGGTCTCCGACCCTCTCCTGGTCCACGCCCTCGGTCTCCGACCCTCTCCTGGTCCACGCCCTCGGTCTCCGACCCTCTCCTGGTCCACGCCCTCGGTCTCCGACCCTCTCCCTGGTCCACGCCCTCGGTCTCCGACCCTCTCCTGGTCCACGCCCTCGGTCTCCGACCCTCTCCTGGTCCACGCCCTCGGTCTCCGACCCTCTCCTGGTCCACGCCCTCGGACTCCGACCCACTCCTGGTCCACGCCCTCGGACTCCGACCCTCTCCTGGTCCACGCCCTCGGACTCCGACCCTCTCCTGGTCCACGCCCTCGGTCTCCGACCCTCTCCTGGTCCACGCCCCCGGACTCCGACCCTCTCCTGGTCCACGCCCTCGGACTCCGACCCTCTGCTGGTCCACGCCCTCGGTCTCCGACCCTCTGCTGGTCCACGCCCTCGGTCTCCGACCCTCTCCTGGTCCACGCCCTCGGTCTCCGACCCTCTCCTGGTCCACGCCCTCGGTCTCCGACCCTCTCCTGGTCCACGCCCTCGGTCTCCGACCCTCTCCTGGTCCACGCCCTCGGTCTCCGACCCTCTCCTGGTCCACGCCCTCGGTCTCCGACCCTCTCCTGGTCCACGCCCTCGGTCTCCGACCCTCTCCTGGTCCACGCCCTCGGTCTCCGACCCTCTCCTGGTCCACGCCCTCGGTCTCCGACCCTCTCCTGGTCCACGCCCTTGGACTCCGACCCACTCGTCGTACACGCCCTCGGTCTCCGACCCTCTCCTGGTCCACGCCCTCGGTCTCCGACCCTCTCCTGGTCCACGCCCTCGGTCTCCGACCCTCTCCTGGTCCACGCCCTCGGTCTCCGACCCTCTCCTGGTCCACGCCCTCGGTCTCCCGACCCTCTCCTGGTCCACGCCCTCGGTCTCCGACCCTCTCCTGGTCCACGCCCTCGGTCTCCGACCCTCTCCTGGTCCACGCCCTCGGACTCCGACCCACTCCTGGTCCACGCCCTCGGACTCCGACCCACTCCTGGTCCACGCCCTCGGACTCCGTCCCTCTCCTGGTCCACGCCCTCGGTCTCCGACCCTCTCCTGGTCCACGCCCTCGGTCTCCGACCCTCTCCTGGTCCACGCCCTCGGTCTCCGACCCTCTCCTGGTCCACGCCCTCGGTCTCCGACCCTCTCCTGGTCCACGCCCTCGGACTCCGACCCACTCCTGGTCCACGCCCTCGGACTCCGACCCTCTCCTGGTCCACGCCCTCGGTCTCCGACCCTCTCGTCGTACACGCCCTCAGACTCCGACCCTCTCCTGGTACACGCCCTCAGTCTCCGACCCTCTCCTGGTCCACGCCCTCAGTCTCCGACCCTCTCCTGGTCCACGCCCTCAGTCTCCGACCCTCTCCTGGTCCACGCCCTCAGTCTCCGACCCTCTCCTGGTCCACGCCCTCAGTCTCCGACCCTCTCCTGGTCCACGCCCTCAGTCTCTGACCCTCTCCTGTTCTATGACTCCATTCCCTGACCCTCTCTTGTTGCACATCCACAGTCACTGTCAATTGTCTGTTATGTTACATTCACGGAATATTACATGTGGCCCTTTGGTGACTTCAGGGCCACACTAGAGGCCCACTATGTCAGGTAAGTTGACCACCATTGCACAACCCCATCGGCACGCCTCCCCCACCCACAACCAGCAAATTGGCCGAGCTGTGTGCCTGCAGCATGATACTGATCGGGATCCATGAAGGAGGAATTGATGGCCATGGAGGGACATTTAATCACATTGCCATGTACCAGTGCTGTCACAGCCCAGGGCTGCTGTGTAAAAACTATATTATTATGTGACAACAAAGGTACAAAATGTAACAACATAACAAACTAATGAAGACAAATAAACAAGTCTAACAAAATATAATAAAGTAATAATTACAGAAGTCTCTCCCTTGTCTGCCAGTCTTCTACTCCTCACACAGCAATGTGGACCCTAATCAGCCCACAATATACCGAAACCAGCTGCTGCTATATCAACACTTCCGGGAACACTCTTCCTACTTCCGTTTTGTGCGTTCCACGGCCACCCAGCTGTTTCCTGGTTGCCATAGCGACGGCCAGCGATGTGACTGGAGAATGTTCCTAAGGCCAGATAGTGACGGAAAGACTTTTTATAAAGCCACCACTAGAGGGCAACCGTATACCGAATGAAGAGAGAATGAAGTGTCCTCAGCGCAGGAGGAGAATCGGCCATTTTGTCGTAGAGCATTTCTTTTCTCTCTGAGTAGCCCAGGATTGATAGAACCTCTCACTGCCTACTATAGTGTTATAGAGAACTGAATGTGTGCAGGTTTTTGTTCATAAATGTTTCCATGTTTTATGTTGTCACAGTGCTTCCAGTATGATAGGTTCACCTTTTTGGACAAAAATAATAAATGCAGGTGAAATATGTGGTTATTATTTTTGTCCAAGGAGCCTGGACAGCATTGCATCAGAGATCAGAAGATGGCTGATGCCATGCAGGTCTCCTACAGATCAGAACATCTGCTTGCTGTACAGAATGCACGGTGTGTATGGGGTGTACAGAATGCACGGTGTGTATGGGATGTACAGTGTATATGGGGTGTACAGGATGTATGGGGTGTACGGGATATGCGGGGTGTATCGGATGTACGGGGTGTACTGGATAAGCGGGGTGTATGGGACGTATGAGATGTACAGGACGTATGGGGTGTACGGGATATGGGGGATATATGGGGTGTACGGGATATGTGGGATGTATGGCATATTCGGGATATGCGGGATGTACGGGGTGTACTGGATAAGCGGGGTGTATGGGACGTATGAGATGTACAGGACGTATGGGGTGTACGGGATATGGGGGATATATGGGGTGTACGGGATATGTGGGATGTATGGCATATTCGGGATATGCGGGATGTATGGGGTGTACGGGATATGCGGGGTGTACAGGATATGTGGGGTGTACGGGATATAGGGGATGTATGGGATTTGCGGGATGTATGGAATATGTGGGATGTATGGGGTGTATGGGATATGCGGGGTGTACGGGATATGCAGAATGTACGGAATATGTGGAATGTATGGGGTGTACAGGATATGCAGTATGTATGGGGTGTATTGGATATGCGGGGTGTATGTTATGTACGGGATATGCGAGATGTATGGGGCGTACGGGATATGTGGGATGTATGAGGTGTACAGGATATGCGGTATGTATGGGGTGTATTGGATATGTGGGGTGTATGGGATGTACGGCATATGCGGGATGTATATGGGGTGTACGGGATATGTGGGATGTATGGGGTATATGGGATATGCCAGATGTATGGAGTATGTGGGATGTATGGGGTGTACGGGATGTATGGGATATGCGGGATGTACAGGATATGCGGGATGTATGTGGTGTACGGGATATGTGGGATGTACAGGATATGCGGGGATGTATGTGGTGTACGGGATATGTGGGATGTATGTGGTGTACGGGATATGCGGGATATATGGGGTGTACGGGATGTACAGGATATGCAGAGTGTACGGGATATGTGGGATGTACAGGGTGTATAGGATGTACGGGATATGTGGAATGTACGGGATATGAGGGATGTACGGGGATGTACAGGGTGTATAGGATGTACAGGATATGTGGGATGTACGGGATATGTGGGATGTATAGGGTGTATAGGATGTACCGGATATGTGGAATGTACGGGATATGTGGGCTGTACGGGGTGTACAGGATATGTGGGGTGTACAGGATGTACGGGATATGCGGGAGGTATAGGGTGTATGTGATATGCGGGATGTATGGAGTGTGTGGGATGTACAGGATATGTGGGATGTATGAGATATGTGGGATGTATGGGGTGTACAGGATGTATG